TCGGAGTGAGGGCGACCGACAGAGCTGGGGGGGGGGAGGGGAGGGAGCCCAGGGCTGGGCTAGCAGGGGGCTGCGGGTCGGGAGTGAGGGGCATCAGCAGAGCTGTGTGCTGATCCAGGCCTGGCTAGTATGTTAGTTAATCCACAGGTCACACAAGGGCCAGACCTAACCAAGTGGGGTCACAGGGGACCGAGGGGAGGCAAACCCGCAGCCGGACCAGGGCTGCTCGCTCAGGTGCCAGGACTCACCCCTCCCACAGAGCAGCAGTGACCCAGCCTGGGACAAGGGGGGGTGCCTTAACTCACAGCCCCCGTGCAGTCACACGCCAGGCAGGTCCCGCCTGCTGGGAGCAGAGACAAAACAAGCCGCTGGAGGGCCCCGAGTGAGACTCTCCCGCTGGGCTGGAATCCAGCTGCAGGTGGGCCGGGGACGTCGGCGTGAACCTCTGCCCAGCCAGAGAACAGGCACCTCTGAGCTCACCAGGTCCCCCCCGACGCAGCCCCTTCAGCTCCCCCCGGGGGTGTCCAGCCAGCCGGCGCACTTTGCCTCCTCATCCTCCACCACTACTGACGTCCCTGGGGGGTCACAGGCCGCTTTGCTGTAGCTGGCCCTGAGACCACGGAGACCTGGGCCGGTGGCCGTGGCCGAGGGGAGCGGCCCTGGGGAGCTGGGAACAGCGCTTCAGGCCCAGCGGCTCCTGAGACTCCAGAAGCCCGGCTGGGTCCCACAGGGCAGCAAGGCTGTGACTGAACGGCACACACCCATCTCCACTGGGAGGTGCCCTGGCGGGCTGGCCCAGACCAACGGGGCACTGAACCCGTCACGTTTGCAGTGCAGACAGAGCGCCTGACCCAGAGCACACGTTCCCCCAGACCCTGCAGGAGCAGCGCTGGGGCGGTGTCTGCGAACTCCCAGCAACCTGGCTCCCAGCAGCAGTCCGAGCGGCTCGAGTGCCCGACTCCTCGCCGGCACAGAGCCTGACACGCCGAGGAGTTACCAGCGGGGTTTGCGCTGCAGGCCACCCCGCTCCACAGCAGAGCAGCTCAGGGGTGAGTTCGGTGTCACTCACCCGGGCTGGGGGGCTGGGGGATTCCTCCCCCCCTCTTCCCCTGGGGAGCCCCGACGTGCGGCTCTTCTTTATCCGCCTTCCAGGCGATCTCCACTGTGGCGCCTGCAGAGCCTGATTTGGGGGAAGAGAATCACAAGCCGGGTCTCATGTGGCCACCGAGGGCTGGGACGTGGACACACGGGGCGATGGCATGCCAGGTGTTCCCTTCCGTCCTACGGAACAGGCT